AAACAAAAGTGTTTTAGTGTACTGTGGTGATTAAGTGTTTTATTTTGCTGCTGTGACACCAAAGGTTCCAACCCCCAACTGTAACACTGTATATTATTTTTTCGGTAGATGGAGAATTTAAAAATGAACATTTTTTGTATTTAGCGCATTTCAAAATATTTTCGGTTCACAATTTCACAGATATTCGCTGTTTTATAGGTATTTCATAGCATTTTCCATAGTAAATTTTTATCAAAGCCACCTAATTATGTTTCTCTGGTATTTTACCGTTGAAAGAGCCATATGAAATAATACTGCGTCTATCCTCAAAACCATTAAACATTTTGAAATACTTTAAATACAAAACATGTTCATTTTTGAACTGTCCATCTAATAAAAAAAAATATACAGGGTGTGATAATATCATTTCAAAAAGCGAAGAAAAATTATTTTGTATTTTAGAAAGTTTGGCGTAGAATTTTAAACACCCTGTATGATTTAAGATGACGATATTTGTAGCAAGGTTCAGGACAGTTCTTGTATTTGTAATATTTTTTTAAGAAAGGCTGAAAAATACATATTTTTTATTTATTTATCTCTGAATAATATCTCTAAAACTAACGAAATATATTTACTCATATCTTAGGATTAAGTAAAGTGATCTGAAAGGAAGCCAAAAATACAATAATATACAGGGTGTTGCATTAAAAAAAAGTCATCCCGATCCAGTCACACTTTTTTGAGGCACCCTATAGAAGATAAAATATTTTCCTGAAATACATCCTAGTACATATTTTAGGTTTTTTCACTTAAACAAAATTCCCAAGTTTTTTATTCTAGCATCTACAGACGCCCAACGCACTATTTCCAGACCCTTTATAATAATTATAATGACAATTGTGCGTATATCATCGGTTATTGACATAATTTGTACTTAAAAGTCAAACATTTTTAACCATTAATTTTCAAATAGTTTTGTATCTTCCTTTGGATTTTCTTTTTTCTTCCTGCATAGTTAGGGTGATTGAAATAGATTCTTTGAACTGATATATAACATTGTGAAATAAAACGTCCATATATAAGTATAAGAAATACCTGCCATAAAATGAATTAGAATAAAAAATTGTTCTATTAGCAAATGAATAACACTGTCAAGGTTGCCGACCTACTAACATAATAATTTCAACTAACAGAAACATAACGTTATCGCGATGACCACACACTTTAACCTCTTCAGATGCCGAACGGCTTACATAACCTATTTGTGTGGCCTTATGTCTGCCCGAAAAGACGCATTATTTGCATGCAAAGTCAAAGTGGACATTACGAGAACCGCGCAATGCAATAATCGTCTAAATCATCGAACGATTGTTCGATTAATATTCTGGTCTCATTGTCGTAGCGGTTACAGTACCACCGGGATGGTAACCACCGCCCTAAACGACCAAAAATATAAATATGGTGTGCCGTGTAATTTTTTGTGGCTCGTTTTTCGTTTATTAACATTCTCTTTTGGCGGTAAGAATGTTTAAATAAATTACTTACGTAAAAATTAATGTTTTATTGAAACGTAACAATGTTTTCTTCTCACCAGTAACCACACCTCTGTTCCCTTACCGGATGTCATTTTTAAATGATCTATAAATTTAGTAGTTACCTAACTTACCGTTTTATGAATTCTATACAAATTTGGTATACTTACCGTACAATTAGAAGAATGAAAAAATATTTTTTGTATAATGAAAATTTTTATTTTTCAACATTTATCAATATCAAATCAGTGTTGTTACCTTCAGAATATTTTCAAAAATATGAGCGCATTAACTAATTGCTTAATTGTCAATATTCGGTATAAGCTTGGTGCATTCTCCGCCGGTGCTGCCACCATCGGAGAATATCGTAAAAAACTAGCATACACGGGTTTAAATAGCGAATATAGGAAAAAATTTATTATTTAATTATTCTAAAAGTGTTAGGAAGTATAATTTGTGAAAATTCTAAAAATAAAAATAAAAAAGTAAATATTTTGATATCTTCAAAAGGCCTACCTTGTATTACAATTTAATATTCCAGCTAAAAAAACTTTTTAGATGAGTTAATTATGGTAAGGAGCTTAGTTTTAATCACCGGTTTTGCTAGTGTAAAAATAAAAACCTTAATTGGGGCTATTTCGGCTATAACGAAATTTTTTAAAGGTACATAATTATAATTTTAGAAGATCTTCATAAAACAAAAAAAAATAGCGCCGGGAGGCACGTATAGCCGCCCATACTAAAATATGTTAATAAAAAGTTGGTTGGCAATTCTTTTAGTTTCACAGTAAAGGAATTTTTCCAATTTTTTTTATCTCAAAAACTGCTACTTTGACTGATTTTGATGTTATTACAAATTTTGTTGCAAATATTATTCCTAATCTTAAATTAAAAACTGCGTTTCGCTAGCTACTGTAAGTTTGGAGTTACGATTTTTTAAAATTTTTAACCCTCTCCCATACCCCCTTACCAACCCCCCACCCAAACCAAAAACTAATGGCCAGATTCTCGGGTGCCACAGTATTTTTGTGCCAAATTTGGTTAAAATCGGTTTAGCGCTTTTTGAGTTATCGTGTTACAGACAGACGGACAGACAGACACCATGAAAATATTTTGTATTTAGGTCAATTATGACCCAAATAACTAATTTTGAGTGAAATTGAAAAAACTTTTTTTGCCGATCTTAATAGCCTACCATACCTGTTGGTATGGTCGGCTAAAAAATATATCATTAATATTGCAAATTATATTTTATCTTCTGGTAATATATGCCTATTTAATTTTTTGATTATGTAACGAGCACTTTGTTTACTCACTTGTTTCCTTTACTTGAATCCTTGTTTGGCTTTTGATCAAATCGGCGTGAGAAACTATTAAGCTATAAAATGTTGTTTCGGAAGAGTTGAATATCCGGGAAACTTGAGTTATTGAATGTTAATTCCACACAACAACGCCCTAATTACGCTCTCCTAAACATATTAACATTTTTTTTTGGCAATTTTATTAAGATTTAAAATTGTGACCACACAACACGACGCCTAGTTTCACTTATTTTTTACAACCCAAAACAGCGTTTCATCACACAAACCTCGGAACTGAGTGTTTTATAGTCTCATTAACGGCACTAGCAAAAAACTAAAATACTTAAATATTATGAGAAAGCCACGATTTCAATATTATTTTAAAGCGATCAACATGAACTGTAAACGGGACGGCGCACAGTGTGGCATGTAATGGACAAAATTCAGACCAAACGCAATTTTAAACTATGCAATATGAGAATTTGTGTAACATCTTTGGATACAATATTGGTAACTATATAACGTAAGTATAATAGCAAATCGTAGTTGGCTATGCTTTTGTTTCTCTGCGTGAAGGGAAACTTTGCGTGAAGGACTTTGATATGTCAAGATTTGTCAAATTTTAAGCTAATAAACGCAATTATTTACCTGTCCAATTAATTGTGTTTATAATTAAGTGTTTTGGGGTTTTCCATAAAATCAAAATGGGTTCTATTCCTGAAGGTAAGTACTTCATATTGCTACCTAATATTACTTTTTGCAGTAAGTCCAGTTAAGGATTCATAACGGTTTAAAGTTTCCTGTTCATGTTTTTTTGTAATTTTTAGCATTTCCGACTTTGCTTAAAGTTTAAAAAAATCACTTGTGATCACCTATTGTACTTTTTTATCAGTTGTTTATAAACTAATGGTGTTATCATAAACAAATTTTTAATCACCATGGGTTACCATTAACGGAGTTATGATTTTTTTTAGAGAGAGGTGTCATAGTCAAAAATAAAGACTTGGTAGAAGCTTGGTTAACAAGTCCAAAAAGAAATCGAAAGCAGCTCGTATACGAAAAAAATATTGAACCTCATTAATGTATATGAACCTTCCAAGCAGTTGCAAGATGAACTTCATAAATATACTATTAATATATATTATAATTAATATATATTATAATTAATATATATTATACTATTAATGTATATTATACTATTAATATATAATATTATACTATTAATGGTTAAAGCTGTACGCACACTGGTGCGATCACGGTCGCGATCACGATCCCCACGCGGCAGCGGCAAAAAGTTGCTAAAGAATACAAGAGCCGTTTCACATTGGCGCGATCAAGTTTTGGAGAGGAAGCGGCCTGGCGGCGTTCTATTCTGCGGTGGCGATCAGATTCAACTTGTCGAGTTTGATCGCATGATCGCGACCCAACTGATAGGAATTTTCCGTTATTTTGTGTGTTTTTTCTTGTTGCAATTTAGAAATGGAGTTAACAGAGCAGCTAATTAAGGCTGTAAAAATACACAAAATTCTATATGATTTATCCGATCGAAGTTACAAAAATAATGGAATTAAAAATAAAAAGTTTGAGACAAAATTGGAGTTGCAATTGGATTAGACAGTACATATGAATAAATTTTTATTGTTTAAGTTTAAATATTGTAGGTAAATATTTAAGAGTGTTTTTTTCCGGTAGGGGAAATAGGGGTAAAATGGCGACGCGAGGCAAAACGGGGATGTGATATATACAAATGATACATGCAGCACCATCTCTCGCTTTTTGCTGCAGTATGTAGTTTTGCTAACGGACGCACTCCAACAAAAGTTTCAGCGTGTCAGTTTGTGCAGTAATGGTGAAATGTCTGGTTGAAGAAAATTGTTCGATTATTTAAAAAAATCTACACGGTATGTACTGCTTGTTAACTGGCTTGTTTTAAATTCTGTATTGAAGTTGTTTAATTTAGAACGTAACGTAATCATTTTATTTTCTGGCTGTGAATGCTATATATTGGTTATTTGAGGTTAGCTACGTGTTATTTTAGTTAAACATTTCTGTACATAAATGGGGCAAAACGGTGAGTTTCGATCGGGGTAAAATGATGACCTCCCCATTATGCCCCTATATAAATTTAATATTTTTTGCGGATAGGTATAGTCATAAAATTTATTCTTTATTAATTTCAGTGCTAATTATGGTTCGCAAATATGTGCGAAAAACGGAGCGACAAGCCTGGTCGGGTGAGAGCATGCAGGCGGCCATAAACGCTTTAGCCAATAAGGAAATGGGTGCCCCAAAAGCAGCTAAAAAGTTTCGCATTCCCCAGACAACTCTTGAAAGAAGATTTAAGGTTTTCAGAGAAAATGCAGAAACATCCGTTGCTGAAGCATCTGCGAAATCCTTAGGTGCATTCAAGACTGTCTTCAATACCGAGCAGGAACAAGAACTAGTTTCTTACGTCTTACGAATGGAGTCTTTATTACATGGTTTAACAGGAAAAGAAGTTAGAAGCATTGCCTTCCAATTAGCGGAAAAAAACAAAATTCGACATAATTTTAACAAGGAAGAAAAATTGGCTGGGGTAGATTGGCTCAAAGGTTTTTTGAATAGGAATCCCAACTTAAGCATCAGAGTTCCAGAATCTGTCTCAGTTGCCCGATCAATGGGGTTTAATGCAGTAGTTGTCAATAAATTTTTTAAATTGTTGGAGAATACTATTGATAAATATAACTTTTCTCCCGATCGAATATTTAACTGTGACGAGACTGGTATTTCTTCAGTTGGAAAGTGTAATCCAAAGATAATTGCCCAAAAAGGGAAAAAACAGATCGGAAGCATAGCCAGTGCCGAGCGAGGAAAAACAGTAACAATAGAAATTTGTATGAGTGCCTCTGGCAATTTTATGCCACCAATGTTTATTTTTCCTCGTGTTCGTATGAAAGATTGTCTGCTAGATAATGCACCGCCAAATTCCACAGCTATGTGCCACAAGACCGGTTGGATGCAGTTAGATATATTTTTTGAATGGTTCAAGAAATTTGTTTCTTGGTCTCGCGCATCTAAAAAAAATATGGTGTTGCTTCTGTTGGATGGCCATATGTCCCACACCAAAAATATCAAAGTTATAGACTATGCACGGGATAATGGGGTTGTTATCTTGTGCTTCCCGCCGCACTGTACTCACAGGCTGCAGCCTTTAGATGTAGGTTTTATGAAACCTCTAAGTACGTACTACTCAGAAGAGGTAAAGAAATGGCTCCGAGTTCATCCGGGTCGAGTCGTCGCTCAAGAAGATATTGCTGGTTTATTTGCTGAAGCTTTCTATAAAGCGGCCACTAGCGGTCTACAAATCGTGACGTATTCTCAGAAAGCGATTTCATCGCTGCTTCAGTAACGGACATCGACAATGAAAATCCACATATTCAAGATCTAAATAGTATAAATAAGGATACAGTCAGTGATGCTGAGTTGCCGGGATCTCATATGTTGAATGCAAAAGGATCACCACCTCTACAACAGGATACTGAGCTTTTACAAGGATCAAGACCTCAACGAAGCGTTGATCCCATACAAATGCCAGGCCCATCATATCAAGATGAACAAGTTTTGCAAATGACACCGCATAGAAATATTGGTAACAACTCTGTGGCTGCATTTGCTATTACTCCCGAAGACATCTCACCCTCGCCAAAATCTACTGTGAAAAAACGGTCCTCAAAAAATCGTGAAAAAACGGCAATAATCACAGAGTCTCCATACAAGCAAGAGCTAGAAGCAAAACTACAAGGAAATAAGGTCTCTCAAAACAACGTTAAAAAAAGTGCGAAAAGAAAAGTTACATTTGGAAAAAGCTCCAAGAAACCCGTCAATGTTTTCAAGAAGCTAAAGAAGCAAAATGGTGATTCTGAAAGTGATAGTTCATTAGATGACGATGCAAACTGTTTATATTGCGATGAACTGTATTCCCAATCATCTGAAGGTTGGACTCAGTGTATCACATGCAGAAACTGGGCTCACGACGGTTGTGCCGGAATCGAACCTGAAGATGACAATCCAGAATTTATTTGTGAACTATGTTCCTAAGTGTCCTTCCTATTCAAGTTAATTTGATCTGTTGTTTTTTAATAATATTTATATATTATTATTATTGTTCATATTGTTACGATACCTCGAAATATCCCGACCTAATAAAAATATTGTAGAAAATAAATTTATTTGTACGTTTTTGAGCTCATCCCTAATTTGCCTTATATCTGGCTAACTTACCTCGCCATTTTACAGCTGCATATCGGGCAAAACGGGGATAATGACATTTTGATTTTAATAAAAAATTGTACAGACATAAAAGCATATTTTAAAACGAAGGCAGGTGATTTTGTTAACTAAATAGCAACATTGAATTATAATATCAATATTTACTAAAATAATTAATTGTATCAAAAAATACAATAAATTCCATGTTAACATCACCGTTTTGCCCCTATTTCCCCTATACATAATTCACATTTTTAATTTGTACCTATGTATACCTACAGGATAGCGCACTACATATAGGTAAGGCGGTGACCGTGAACGCGAACGCGTTGGTGTGTGCTAGAATGATCGCTCATGTTATCGCTGCCCTGATCGTGATCGTAGCGGCCGTGATCGCACCAGTGTGCGTGTAGCTTTAAGAAGGTAAAATACCAATTTTACCTTAATAGCTTGAAAGCAGTTGAATTTAGGTATAGCATATTATACATGAAATGTGCCTAAAGTTTTGCGTAGATTCCAAATAATATGAAGAATTATACAGAGTGTTCCATCAGAAAAACACAGCTTTGCTCTGGTACAGATTTTTGAAATACCCTGTACGAATGAAAATATTTTTAGATTATGCAACCTAATTAGGTACTGTACAATTTTTTAAGCAAATTTTTTCTCTATCGCTAGTAGTTTTGGTTAGTTATTAAAATATCAACCGATAACGCACTATTGTGACACCCTATATATATTTACTCATTGCACACCTACTCAGTATTGCTGTATTTTTTTAGTCTAAACTATAAGTAATAAAACAGCGTTTACAGAATTGAAATTGGTTTACTCATTGTTGAGATATCTAATTTTGTCCTTAACTCATATACCACGCCACACTGTGCGGCGCCGGCGCGGCGCGGCGGCGGCGGCGCACAGTGGATCGACGCAATGCAATTTGCTGGACATTCAGCAATTGTGCAAAATTTCTAACTTAAGACATTTTTTTGAATAAATGGGTTCTAAAATCTTCAAATTTGTTAAAAATAGTCATAACTTTATTATAGATAACTTACTAAATAGCGCAGGGGTGTTTTCCAGAATATATATTTTATTTGAATTTCCGTATTTAATTGACTATTACAAATTAAACTGCATAATTTCATACTTATTCCAAAACTTAATGAACTTTTTATCATATTTTTAGTTTATATGAATTATGACCTTGCGATTTGTCCAGTTCTTTAATACCAACATGTATTCAATAACAATAATTTATTTATTGTTTTATATATTTAATTATTGTATAGTGTATCACAAAAAACTAAATTTTAAACAAAATTTTCCATAGCCATCTTTGCTGCAAGCGGCTGCAATAAAACTTTGTATTCAAAAGTTCAGCATAAAATAGAGAAGTCATATACCCACCAACAAATAATCGGGACTCGGTGGGACTTTTTGATAATTACGAAAGAAAGACGCAAACTATAATAAATTTCGCTGAAAAATGTATATTTTCACGGAGAATAGAGTTATGGGCTAAAACTTTTGTATGGGGCACATGAATTAAGTCATTTATTTAATCCATAATTTGCTCTATAAATTTCCTACATATTAAATATCTTTAACAAGAAACGCATATATGTTATATACTATAATATATAGCTTTGGGTGAATTTTTCAATAAAATTCGATTTTAGTTGATTAAATTATGGCTTTCTAAATATGTATTTGAAGAAATTTGTATTAAAAGTTTAAATACGATTTTAAGTGTTATGTCCAGCATCAAACATACGATCGTTCTACTGTGCGGCGTGAGTTACATACTGATAATTTCTGATTTCTGCCGTTGAAGCAGTGCGGTCAAAATTTGTTGAAATCAACTGAAATGCACCAAGCCTATACTTACCGTACATTTTAAAAATAATTGGAGTAGTTTTTAAAATAATTGGAGTATTTTATTGCAAATGAAACTTAAAAAAAATGAAGAAATAATTTTGGTCTAATGAAAATTTTTATTTTTCAATATATTATATTAATATAGTGTTATATAATTATATAATCGCGAATCAGTGTTGCTACCTTCAGAATATTCCCAAAAATATGAGCGCCTTACTAATCCGGCAATATTCGGGATATATCGACAAAAAAGCTTTATAAAATTATGGCCTACTGTTCATCATATACTAGTATATTCTCTGCCATCACATATTCGGTGGCAATAAGTAGTTTCGGGGAAACCTTTTTTATTAATTTATGTTTTATATTTAATAAATTATAGAGGGGAGGGATTAAAATATCGAAATGTTTTTAATTATCGTCTATGAAAAATTAGATGCAAATAAAAAATGTAAAAAATAATGCAAGACCACTTGACTTGAGGACCCGCTTAGAGTAGATCTCAGCTGAGGAGAAACAGAGAGATACCTCCGAATGATCCACGAAGGATTTGCTACAGAGGAAGCAACAATGAAAACACCCCTCAAAAAAGGGGGAGTAAAGGAACCAAGAAACAGCCTGGCACATCTCCACCAAACAGCAAGAGGGAGAGCGAGAACTTCTCACCTCTCCTCCGGCAAGGAGAGAAAACCCCAGGATGGAAAGCCGTCCAACACCAAGAGGCAAGTAGGGACACATCACCAGCTTTGCCAGAACACCAATGCAAAGATAATTCTAACTACTTTTTTACGTTCTTTACATTCTCGGTTCAATAATTCCGTTAAAAATACATCGATTCAAATCCCTTTTAATCCTGTTTTATTTAATCGTTCCACTCTCATTGCAATGCTTAGATTTTTTTCAGATTAAAAAATATTAATTATTTATTTTCGCTTTGCTTGTTAGAGTTATTCGCTTCAACGAACGTCTTATTACAAGTCATAATAAAAGAATGTAATAAACGACATACAGTAATTCAAAACTATCGGATAATATAAAATTATGTTATGCTAATGCAATACAGTGTCTGGCAATAGTGCGTCGGGCATTTGTAGTTCCTAAAATAAAAACTTGGGAATTTTGTTTAAGTGTAAAGTTAAAGTATGTACAAGGATGTATTTCAGAAAAATATTTTAATTTCTATAGGGTGGCTCAAAAAAGAGTGAGTGGATCGGGATATTTTTTTTTAAATTGAACACCCTGTATATTATTACATTTTTGGCTTCCTTTCAGATTACTTTATATAATTTTAAGATATGAATAAATATATTTCGATAGTTTCAAAGATATTAATAAATAAATAAAATAATTATATTTTTCTATCCTCATGAAAAAAAAAGTATTACAAATACAAGAACTGTCCTGAAATCAAAACTATATTAGGTATTTACTTTAGATGGTCTATACTTAACTTTGCTATAGCTATCGTAATCTTAAATCATACAGGATGTTCAAAATTCTACGCCAAACTTTCTAATATATAAAATAATTTTTCTTTATTTTTTTAAATGGAACACCCTGTATATTATTTTTTATTAGATGAAGAATTAAAAAATAATCATTTTTCGTATTTAAAGTATTTCAAAATTTTAAAATGGTTTCGCAGATACACGCAGTATTATTATTTCATATGCACCAAGATACGAGAGAAAAATTATTGGGTGGCTTTGATAAAAATTTACTATGGAAAATGCCATATGAAATATAAAACCGCGAATATCTGCGAAACCGTTGAAAATTTTGAAATTACCTTAAATACAGAAATTGTTTATTTTTTAGTTCTCCATCTTCTCCTTCTTCCTTCTTCATACTAGGCGAATCGCCTGTTTGGTTTCGTCGTCTCTACCGGTCAGACTGACAAGTTGTCGCTCCATCGTTTCCGTGGACGTCCTAAGCTTCTGCGACCTAGCGGTGATTTGTCGCGTGCAACTCTCACTATCCTTCTGTTGTCCATTCTGCTGATATGCTCGTTCCATTCTTCCTTTCTGCTGAGTACCCACTCATTTACATTTTCCACCTTGCACGCTCTTCTTATGCTTTCATTTCTCTCCCTGTCCAGAAGCGTCTTTCCAGCTATTCTGCGTAGTACTCTCATTTCGGTTGTTTCTAGTAGTTGTTTAGTTTTCGCTGTATCAGGTCGAGTTTCTGCAGTGTATGTCATTATTGGTCGTACCGTTGCCTTGTAAATTCTCGCTTTAGTCTCCACCTCAATGTTTTTAT